GTGCTGCAGCCCAATCTCTCTCTGAGAAAAGAGCAAAAAGGTCACATTTGAGTCGATTTTGCAATAAAAAAAACCGCGCAGAAATTTGGGTTTTTGACATTTTTTGCGAAAATTGCCTACATTTTCTAAGCGATATTGACCTTTCTAACCGCGCCTATGCTCAATTCAGTGGTGTAGAAATAAGTCGTCCTGAGCAATTTGTACCTGAGAAATGAAGAAAATCGTGGAGCAAAGCATGAAACTTTACACTTGAACCTAAATATGTGAGATTGACTAGAAAACAGCAATTTGATTGTCACCTTGCAGGTAGTTTTACCTCTATTCCACTCTCAGGCTAAAAACCCAAGAATGCGATATTGTAGCGACTCGCTCTTGTCCGTATTTAGCCGCAACTAATGTATGCACATATTTAAAACATTTATTAATTTTCTGACCAATTTAAGACACTTAATCGTCATTATTCAGCTCATTGCCGTAAATATTTAAAGAGTTGTTGAGGAATTTGTTAACAACATGATATACGAGCGTTTTCTTTAATTTTTTTTATTGGTTGGTTGGTTGGCTTGATGGAAATCCGTTGTTGTTGCCATCATGACGAAGAGATTTATGCGGCAGTTTACAGTAGAAAAGTGTGTCAACGCCGATTTTTTCCGTCTAAATTCCCAGACCTTGCTGAAACGTCGTATTTCTGCTCTCGCATCACTCAACAGCATTAAGAGCTATAATAAGCGACTGTAATAACAGGTATTATGGGCGAATTTGAATAATTGCACTTATCGGGACATTTTTCCGGCTCTAATTAAATAGTATGGAAGCATTACAAGATACGGGCCATGTTTACAAGACCAGTTTAATTAAATAGGCACAAATGGCCAAAGACAGACAAACCTACTTGGAATTTCTGGCTGTATTGTGATCATCTACTGTCCACCTTCAAGCACAAAACTATACTAGAACTATTAATATTAAAGCTTTAAATAAACATTGCAAGAAACTGGTCTAATGCCCAGCATATTTTCATTGTATTGAATCGACCATTCGGACTATTTAGCCAGTTAATTTATTTATTTGATAGCCCGATTCCTCAGGCCCATATACTACAATAAAACCAGTATATTTGGTTGATTTTATTGGAACTTTCAGTACTTTGGAAGCTATTTGAGAGTATTTTTTAACAGAAAATCAGTTTGGAAAATTGGCCAACTTCCACCTTGATCTGTTAGTGAATGATGATGAGAAACAAGGTTTGAAACCGGCTTCAATGAATTCTCTATTGAAAAAATGCAACAAGTTCCGATGATTGCAAGCATTTAGTCGATAAATGTCCAATCGACGACGGTTTTCCCGAATAAAATAAAACTGACCATTTCAATCAAACAATCGAGTTTACTACACTTGATACATTTGTCGCATCCCTTTGCTCAAAAATCCTGCACACCATGTATCACACAAAAGTGTACAGGGTGAGTTGTAAAAAAAACCTATCTCGTTTATATGAAAAGGTACCAACAACTTCAGTGTTTTAAATGAGACACCCTGTATATTATTGCACGTTTAAACAGGTCTTGCAGATCTGATCATTTTCAATTTTAAATAGTCTACATTTCTGGAAACTTTTATATTTTCTTACATCGAAATCAAAGATGTACTTTTCGATATGAGCGGCAACGCGGCATCGTTGAAAACTCTTCGTGGCACAAATTCTCAGAAAGGTTATACGCCAGCGACCATGAATCTCCCTGGATACAGGAAAAATCATTGACTGAGGAAACTCATAAGAACTTGCACGAGAACAAGTGTTTTGTTACCAAATTTTCAACCACCCTGTATATGTGAACGCAACTTTATATGCTGAACCTCGGCCTTTTCCCAAAACGTTCGTAGATTTTTCGCCAAACGGTCAGCGTTTCAGCGTATTTGTGGTTAGGTTTCGAATGGTGCTCTTCAAAGCTTCACATGTATTACAAGGTCGACTAAGAACAGGTTTACTAAGAAAAACCTCTAGCGCTCTGTGTTTTTAACATCAAGCCCTGAAATGCGATCAATAGAAAACCGATTTTTGGAACATTTTCATCAGAAAGCAACCGGGTTGGCAAATTTCCCGTTTTGTTTCCTGAGTGCAATTGAAACAGAACACCTGCAGATGAAGCGGGCACTGTTGAACCGCCAGCAAAATACACTCAGAAAGTACTAACCAGGTGTTTGACGTTGTGGCGGCGGTTGCTGCTGGTCGACCGGTCCAGGCACCACATGGAACACTTCCCCGATCTCCGGAGACGATTCCTTGCCCTCGGCGCGGCGCTGCAGCTGGTGCAGCTGCTCCATATGCAGATGCTTCAGCGAGCGGACGTGCTGCAGCAGCGGCAGCCGATTGGTGGCGGAGAAGCCGCACAACGAGCAGTGGAACACGCGCGGTTGGTTCGGCTGCAGACCGCTGCACCGTTCCAGAAGGTGCTTCAGCAGCGCAACGCCGGCGTCGTGCCGCCCCGCGTTCGAGTGCAGCTGCAGCTTGTGCGCCGAGTTCGTGTAGTAGTCGCAGGCGTTGCAGCGGATCTGCACGCCGCCCGGCGCCGAAGCGTACTTCAGCTTCCATTCGTTGCGCGGGCCGCCCTCCTTCACATGGTTGACGTGCTGCAGCCGTTGCAGATGTTTGTCAGTCTTGCAGTGTAGCTGGAAATTGGCCTTCAGGTTCGTTTTGTACGTGCAGAGCTTGCACACGTAATGGCCCGCCACTACGGCCAGGATCTCTTGCTCTCTCAGTCTAGTTCTGTCTAAAGCTAGGTGCCGCCCCAAGTCCTCCAGGACGTCGGTCTGGAACACGTTGCAGACGCAGCATTGGAAGGTCTTGTCGGGGTCGAGGTCGGCCGGCTCCGGGGGCGGTTCCATCGTCTCCGGGTTGAGGCCCAGGTCGGAGTGGGCGGCCATTTCGGCGGGGCCCGCGTGTCCCGGCAGCTGCCCGCCCGTCATCATCTGGATCAGCAGGGCCTGATTGTAGGCCATGTCGGCCAGCGCCGCCTCCGGCTTCTCGCCCAAGCTCGGGTACATGCCATACAAATTGTCCATGTGGGGCTGCGGGTGCTGCTGGTGGTGCAGCGCGCTCAACGTCTGCATATGCTTGACGTTCTGCTGCAGCACCAGCATGTTGTGCGTGTGCTTCTCGCTGGTCATGTGGATCCGCAGGTTGCGCGCCACGTTCGTCTCGTAGTTGCAGACGTCGCACCGAAAGCTCGGCTTCGGCTTGTGCCCGGAGCTGACCGGCGAATGG